CGGGCCTGGCGCCGCGGCCTCGCCGTCCGCTCCTCCGGGTCGATCGGGGCCGCGGCTGGCGAGGCTGGAACCGCGCCCGGGTCGGCCCGCTGCGGAAGTGGAGCTGCGGGGTTTAAATTGCGCACGTTTCCCTCCATTTTGGACGCGCGCGTCGGTGTAAGATGATGTTGGCCGGGGCGGATGCGTGGGTCGGTGACCCTCCCGGCCCCTTTGTCCCCGCCCTGCAGCGCCGGCCCTCCCAGGCCCGCCCCGAGCGCCTTTTTGACAGATTAGCGGGTGGCTTGGCGGGGCCTGCCGGTGGGGAGGCAGGAAAGGCGCGGCAGCCCGGCGGACGGGGAAGTGGGGTTGCAGAGCTGGCTTGGACGCGCGCCGCTTGTCACTGGCCTGGAGGGTCGCAGCCGGCTCGGATGGGTGACTCTCCAGCGCGGGCTGCGGGGCTGCTCGCTTGCGTGGGTTGCATTCCCTCGCCCGGTGTTTCCGCACATCAAAAACCAAATAGGCAGGTTTGCGTGCTCCTCCTAAAGCTCGATCCTATTTTACAACCTTTTAAAGACTTAAAAAAATTCTTTATAATGACACCTTCCGACAATCTCAGGGGGCACTTAGTAAGCACTTGATTGCAGAGGGCCTGGTTCCGGGCGCTTCACCAAAGTGATCGCACGGTCTGGCCGGGAAGTCAGGCTGTGGATACTCAGAACGATCCAGTAGATACATTGGACAGCGCGTGGACGATCTGAGGGTTCAGGCTGGAGCGAGGGTGCTTGCTGACCTGCTGTGTGAGGGGCATGCACCGGGCCAGAGAGGGCCAGACCCACACTGGCGGGCCAGCCCTCAGGGAGCTTGCAAATAAATAAACACGTGTAAATCTGTAGTTACACTTTGTAGCGGCTGCTGTGAAGGAGAGGATGGGGGCTACGAGAAGAGCAGGAGAGCTCTAATTTAGACTGGGCAGCCAGTCCAGTGGTAAGTTTAGTTTCTGAGAGCTGTCTAGCGAGGAGGGAAAAGAGTGAGTAGGAGGGCAATGATGGTTACCTTCAGGGCTTTCTGTTACTTAGGGGAAAAGTCGGGCCGTTCGGCTTCTACAGCCCGGAAGGTGGCGTTTTTTTTTTTTTTTTTTTTGTTTTTTTTTGCGTCCTGTGGCAGGGGCGCGGAACAAGGCCGGGGGTTCCTGTTTGCGTTTCGCCTAGTGGGCCAGCCTTGGGCTCAGGTGTTGAAGAGGGAAGCTGTCAAACTTCCTTTGAGCTTCCCTTTCCCTGCCTCCTTTGGACCAAAGGCGTTTCTAACACCGCGATCAGCAGAGTACAGCAGCATTCTGTCGTGTGGATAAATAGTAACATTGGAGCCAAAATGTGTAAGGATTCCAGTGCCAATTGACACTGAAGTTAGCAAGCATGTGGCTTAATAGAGAAAAGCCTGAGGGTCCCCATGTTTCCACTGCTTCTGGAGGGTGAGGACACTGTTCGTTCAGTAGACAGACTTTTTCTTTACAAACACACTGTGGCTAAAATAACCCTTCTAAGGGAAGCCTATGCCTGTGTCTCTTGACTCCATTAGGTGGGTGTATAACGACATGCACAGATGTCCTGGGGCTCTTCCGTCCTGTCCTGGCTAACTCACTCCTGCAGATTACATTGGGATGTGATTGCACTGTATTGTCGTGTGACAGCTGTGCGTGGATCTTGTGCAAAGTGGGAGTGCACGTAATGTTGCTGGTTTCATCTTTTGGAACATTTGTATATAAGACAGTGTCTCCTAAGGAGAGTGCTGGTGTGTTCGTTTCTTCTTTTTCAACCACCATATGAAAAATGGCAATCAAGTTCCAATTCTTAATTTTTTTTAAAAATTAAGCTTAGAGACCTAACAGATACCCACCAGATATCTTACTTTGTTTAGCCCCAAATATTTAATTGGTAGCAGAAAAAGCTCCATGGCATTGACCTGTGTCTAGTATTGCACAGATACTGTGTATGTGGTATGTAACAGGTGCAACAAAAGATGCCAATAAATAAATTTTCAAAAAGGTACAGAATCTGCTCAAGGGCCTTTTTAGAAATCCAGGTGTCCCCTAAATCCTGGGGGTCTGTGTTTCAAAAGTCTATAAAGAGTTGTTTGAAACTTGAATGGCATCTTCATGTAGAAAGATATAATTGCCTTCTTCCGTCCTAGTTGACCAATGTCGGAGCACTGGTACTAATAACAGTGGTTTGATTTTTGGGGGTCCAGGAGGAGAAGGGGGCACAAGAGAAGGAGAGAAGGAAGGCACATTTCCTTCCTCTTTCTTAGTGCTCGGAGGCTCAGAGTTAAATGTTGAAATAGGCAAAGCTTGCTGTTGTCACCTTCCTTTTTTGTGCCCCTCCTCTGAGGTGTTCACTGCTCCCTGCTTCCCAAGTGCCCCTCAGGTGACTCCCCAGCCAGGTGACTTCACCTCCAGAGCTTCTGTCC